TTAGTCTATGTTTTCTTTTAGCAAGTTGTGGTTTAAGAACTCAAAAATCATAGAATTTTAAAGATTGAGTAAATATACAAAGTATTCTAACAATAGCAAGAGGAAGTTCAGCCTTATTTTCCCATATCTAATGTTCCAGTGTAGTGAGTCCTAATTCACTTAGCTCAGTGATATTCGGAAAAGTATATTGAATATAACAGGAAATAAGCAATGAAATTAAAATAAATAAAGTCTCAGAGGTGATTTAACCTCTCCGAACTTTGGTGTTCTTTTTTATAAAACAAAGATAATAACAACACTGACCTCCCAGCTTGTTGGGAGAATTGGATGGTCTGTGTGGGAAAGTGTCTTGTAAACTGTAAGGCATCATTAAACATTGTAATTATCCCAGAGTTTGACATGCAATTGCTAGATTTTAAATTGTTGAAATGATAAATACCACTGTACTCATTAAAGGAAGGAAGTGCTGTTTATGTTAACACTGTTGAGTGCAAAGAATTTCCAATGAGCCAACAAAAATCAACAGTATGTAAATAAATTTCTGTGTGCTCTAAGGAAGGGAACGCAGTTTCCGGCTCATGTTCGCATTACAGCATTCCAACAACCAGCTATCGAATCTCCATTTTAATACTCTTTTTATTATTGTATCTAACAGTCTTTCCAAAGCCCCACATTGAAAGAGGCCCAGCAAGATTTGGGAGGCAGATTCCATATCCTCTTATTCACTTATCACCATTTCCTGTGGCTATTTCTCATTGCTTTATTCTTCATTTGGCTGTTCATGCCAGTTCTTCTGTGGGTATGCTTTATTTTCATTAAAAGATACTCACTTTGCTATCTGGTTCATACATATGTCTTTTAAGAATCTTCCAGATGTTACAGAAGCAGCCAGATGTTTTAAAATACAATTACAGTGCTCACTTTGGCAACACACATACTAAAATTGGAACGATACAGTGAAGATTAACATGACTCCTGCACAAAGATGACACATAAATTCGTGAAGCATTCCATATTTTCATTTTTTATGTATATATTTTATAACAATAAAACAATAAAAAATACAACTGGGGGTGCTGAGATGCAGTTTCTTGGAATATTTCTGATGTTTGATATCAGCTATTTTTCTATTTCACTGAGCTCAGCTCAAGTGATTATAGTTCTGCCTTGATGGGTGAATTAAAGCTGAAAGTTTCTGGAAGATGAAAAGATAATACCATTGGCTCAGATAAAATGGAGTTTTGTTTTAGTATAATTTAAATATTTTGTCACTCTTGCTTCTCATCTCTCTCACAGATCTAATCCATTTCTAAGACGTTTATTAATCCACTAGGGCTTTGGTTTTTGCTCTCCCAAGAGATCTCAGAGCTGGTACTCTTGTTAGTGAAGTCAAGAAATGGGAGAAGGAAAAGATATGTCAGGTGTGCCTTTCCTTATTATGAAATAGATTACCACTTCTTTTAGCTAGGGCATGCATAGTTTGGAAAAGACCTGCAATGAGGTGGAGGTTATAGGCAAGTTGGCCAGGTGGTTGATGGCCCACTCCAGTCTAGGGCTTGGCTTTCAACCTTACAGGCTAAGAAACCGATTCCTAGAGGCACTCAGAATAGCCAAGCTGAAAAAGACTGACTATAAAATCAGATTGCAAATTTATAAATTTACAATGATTAAAAAAAAATGTGATAGTGATAACAGCTATCATTTCTTGAGTGCTTTCGACATGTCAGGCATCATACTAAGTGCAGTTTAATTTTGTTAGACTGCCTTGGTTCAACCTCATCTCTGCCACTTACTAGTATATGGTCTTAAGCAAATTACATAACTTTGTGAAAGTTAATTGCCTTATTTAGTAAAGTGCTCAGAAGAATGCCTGGCAGA